TTTTAACTTACTCCATTTGATTAAAGTAGTTCTTCTAAGTTTTTCTTTTAAAGTTCTTTTAAAGTCACCTTCTTTAAGTCTTTTAGTTCTTTTAGTCTGTTTCACCTTCTGCAGATTCATCAGGAAGAACCTTCCTAATAAAACTGCCATTATAAGTGTTTTTACAAACTTGTTAGTAAAAACACTTATTATAGCAGTTTATTTTTATTGCAGTAATCTTTTTCTACATTCATGAAGGGTAATGTACTTGATTATTGATCTACCCTTCATCTTGTAGGATTAACTCTTACTTTCTACCTTCCTTGGAAACCATATATCAAATCAATTGCAAAATTAGCATCTGCTAAGGTTGCATCTCTTTATCCTGCTCACCACTATCTTACTCATAATTCTATTCTTTATCTCAATAAATTTCAAATCCGTCCTTGTATGGAATACTCTTGCAATATCTGAAGCAGACCTTTGGATGATGTTATTTCTCTCTTAGAAAAAGGTGCAAAGATACATTGTAAACATAGTTGGACCTGCTCTTGCAACCAACATCCAATCATTATCACTTTGTCGTAATGTTGCTTTTCTTTCTCTTTTCTATAAATACTATAATGCACAATTCTCTAAAGAGCTTGCATCTCTTGTGCCATCTAGTATAATTCATAGGGTTTGAACTATTGTAATTGTAATGAAAACACTTGTTCATTTCACTTGTTCTCGTTGCAAACTTTATATAGCTCTATAAAAGTGAGTTTGATCTCACCTGTACTTCTTTTACTGCTGAGGATAGACATGATCAATTACTACTACTTCTTCCACTTAGTTATTTGCTTTTATATTAGGCACCTATTCAATTGTTTTAAAACTTACTCAACTAACACTTACTCTAATATAACTTTGTCTTTTATTTCCGTGAGGCTTTTATGGCTGTATGTGTTTCATAAAGTAACTGGACTTATGGATCTAGATGTAAAGTGATACAAGAATTTTGTTACATAAATCAGGAAAAATATTTATTTAGTATTTTAAACTGCCTCATTTTTCAAAAATGACACTTTACAAAATTTATTGGTACGGTCAAATAGGTGATGAATAATCTGAAAATGTAGAAATTTTTTTTGCAAAACAAAAGTAGTTTACATTTTTAGACAATCTAGTCAATAATTACATAGATCAATGGTTCTCTAATTTCATAACGCTGTAATTTATTACACATTAGCGGTTAATTATATTGAAAAAAAAAAATTATTTTCATGCACTTTATGTCGCTAATCAATTAGTTTAGATATCATCATCCGGTGAAACATTTCAATATCAGTTTAGACAAAAATTCATATATTCATTTTCATTCAGCTTAGACAAAAATTCATATATTCATTCAATAAAAAATCAAAAATTTCACTTCACAAAATAAATAATTATTTAATTACAAGCATATGATAAATTATATATTTGTTTGATTTTGAATGAATATTATTAATAAAATTCTAAATAAATTATTATTTAAACAGTTTTAAATAATAAATTATTATTTAAACAATATTACTCAAAATAAATAATATTTATATATGTTAATGGTTGCTAGAAACAGGTGTCATGAGTGTCCCTGAACTTAATATTTATTAAGTATATGTAATATATATACTTCTTTGGCTTTCCTGGCTTCACTTCATTTCTCAAAATAAAATTTATATATATATAAATGACTGTTAAAAATGAGCGTCACGGGCACCTCTGAATTTTCTAGTACCCAAATAATAATAAAGGCAAAGAAAAAGAAACTAAATGTTTTAAAATACAATAACTATTAAACTTTGAAATAGTAATACAATACACCACACTTATTTTAATTGTTTTATATGTGATTTTTTTATTGTAATTTTATCCCAGCAATACAATACAAAAGTTATTATAATTGTTTTACATCACAGCATTACAATACTATTGTATTGTAACGTATTGTTTTAGAACTTCAATGTATTGTTAGAAAAAAAACAATACAATAGTTATTGTAACTGTTTTTAATCACAGCAATACAATAAGAATAAATAATGTTCTTTGGTATTACAATACAATATTATTGTATTGTAATGTGTTATTGTATTTAATTTTTACAATTACAATAATAATAATTCAAACTCTAATAACTCATTCTCATGTTACTCATCATTCAATTAAGTCTCATTCTTTTACTGTGACGGTTCTTAAGAGCTCTGAAAATTCTTATTTGTCTAGTTTTTTCCTCTAAAACCAGTCCTTAAAAGCAGGTCTGTTTTTAGGGGTTAGAACTCCAACTTTGATATCTTATATTTTCTTTCTATTTGTTAAACAAAACAATTTCAAAGAAAAATTTAAAAATATTTTAATTTAACTGATCTCTCTAAGGATTTGAATATTTTAAATTTAGTACAATATTTCAGGTAAATATTTTGTAAAAATTAGTTTTGTTGGATCAATTTGGAAATATATGCGCAGCACCCAATAACAAAGTTAATGAAATTGTGCGGCATATATATAATTTTTAACTTAAAATGAAAACATCAAAAAGTTCACATACTGAAACATTTCTATTAGGACAAACACAAAAATTAATGGCAGAATGTTGCCTACATAAGGTGACATTTTTATTACTGCTGCAAGTTTTTAAAGTTCAGCAAAAGTAATAAACAGCACACCAAAATTATTTTTTGCTCTCTATAGTGGCTATAGAGTGCTAATTTTTCACACATTAATTGCATAAAGATTAGGATATGATTGATTTAAATAATTTGCATAATTATATAACTATTGACATAAAAATTTAAATTAAATGACAAATAAAAATTTATTAAACTATTTTAGGGAGAATATTTCCATATCATTATAGAAAAATTGTACCATATTGTTCAAAAAAAAAGAAACACAAAAGTGGAATGAAATAAGATTTGGCATTAGGAAGAAGAAACTTTTTGACATAGGTCACAAAACTTTATGAAATAATTAAAAAGATAGAAAAATATAAAGACTAGAAGTTGTAGTTTTTTGATAAACACCAAAAAACTACAAGAATAATGATAATTGCTAAAATAGACAACAATTATCTTTTTTCTTTTAAATTTCTTCCAACAGATTTTCACAAAAGGAGAGTCAAGGAGTTTGTGCAAAAAGAAGATTCTGCTACAAAAAAAGTTAAAACATTTTCCGTCAAATGACAATTATAATAATGAAAGAGTTACTTTCATTAGAAAATTTTGACAATAGAGTTACTTTCATTAGAAAATTTTGCCAATAAAGAATTTAAATCTAATAACTATAAAGATAAAATCAAATAACAAAAAATAAAATAAAATGACAGTAACAGTAGATACTGATGAACTTTAAAATTTCTGTTAGTATACAGACAGGATTATTAGTATTTTTTATCAAATTTGTAAATAATGAAAAAAATCATAATAATTTAACTTTTCACATTGGTACAAAAAAAGTTTATACAGCAATAAAAGAAGACTATATTTCTGAAGTAAAACAAGACTATATTTCTGTATTAAAAGAAGACTATATTTCTGTAGTAAAAGAAGACTATATTTCTGTATTAAAAGAAGACTATATTTCTGAAGTAAAAGAAGACTATATTTCTGAAGTAAAAGAAGACTATATTTCTGAAGTAAAAGAAGACTATATTTCTGAAGTAAAACAAGACTATATTTCTGAAGTAAAACAAGACTATATTTCTGTATTAAAAGAAGACTATATTTCTGTAGTAAAAGAAGACTATATTTCTGTATTAAAAGAAGACTATATTTCTGAAGTAAAAGAAGACTATATTTCTGAAGTAAAAGAAGACTATATTTCTGAAGTAAAACAAGACTATATTTCTGAAGTAAAACAAGACTATATTTCTGAAGTAAAACAAGACTATATTTCTGTATTAAAAGAAGACTATATTTCTGAAGTAAAAGAAGACTATATTTCTGAAGTAAAACAAGACTATATTTCTGTATTAAAAGAAGACTATATTTCTGTAGTAAAAGAAGACTATATTTCTGTATTAAAAGAAGACTATATTTCTGAAGTAAAAGAAGACTATATTTCTGAAGTAAAAGAAGACTATATTTCTGTATTAAAAGAAGACTATATTTCTGAAGTAAAAGAAGACTATATTTCTGTAGTAAAAGAAGACTATATTTCTGTATTAAAAGAAGACTATATTTCTGTATTAAAAGAAGACTATATTTCTGAAGTAAAAGAAGACTATATTTCTGAAGTAAAAGAAGACTATATTTCTGAAGTAAAAGAAGACTATATTTCTGTAGTAAAAGAAGACTATATTTCTGAAGTAAAAGAAGACTATATTTCTGAAGTAAAACAAGACTATATTTCTGAAGTAAAAGAAGACTATATTTCTGAAGTAAAAGAAGACTATATTTCTGAAGTAAAAGAAGACTATATTTCTGAAGTAAAAGAAGACTATATTTCTGAAGTAAAAGAAGACTATATTTCTGTAGTAAAAGAAGACTATATTTCTGTATTAAAAGAAGACTATATTTCTGTATTAAAAGAAGACTATATTTCTGTATTAAAAGAAGACTATATTTCTGAAGTAAAAGAAGACTATATTTCTGTAGTAAAAGAAGACTATATTTCTGAAGTAAAAGAAGACTATATTTCTGAAGTAAAAGAAGACTATATTTCTGAAGTAAAAGAAGACTATATTTCTGAAGTAAAAGAAGACTATATTTCTGAAGTAAAAGAAGACTATATTTCTGAAGTAAAAGAAGACTATATTTCTGTAGTAAAAGAAGACTATATTTCTGTATTAA